CCTGAGAGTCCTGTTAAGTTCATTTAGTGGGAGGTCCCCTACCCTTGGAGTATCCTCTCAGTCACTTTCCATCCATGGACCCCCTACAGGTCCCCAGCAGTCTGCTGGGTTGGGCTTTGAGCCCCATCACTTTCCTAGGGCAAGGCCTCATTGCAAGAAGCTTGCATAAAGAGGTTTCTAGCCAAGTGTCAGAATAGTTCTTTAACAAAACCAAAGGAAACACCAAAGGAAAAGGGACAGACTAGAGGAAAAAGGGTTTCTTCAGTTAGGGAGTGCAGTGCAGTGCAGTGCAGATGAGCGTGCAAGCATGGGAACACACACACACACACACACACACACACACACACACACACACGCAAACACGTCCACACTGTCCAGACACGCATATGCACCCGCATGCATACGCAAGCACCCCCATACACGCATACAAATATGCGTACATGCCCAGACACATACACACTATACACAAATGCACACTTACAAACACATGTACATACGTATGCACAGACACATAATACACGGGCACAGATGCACACACACGTAAACAGGTTCGCACGTGCACAGGTATGGCAGAGGCACACATGCGCAAGCACACAGACGCCTATGCAGTCTGCACACTCGCGGTCTACCGGCGATGCAGATCTAAAGCCTCCACCCGCACAAGGTTACTATGGGAACCGAGTAAGAGAGTAGATTTGAAAGCCGACGCTAACCTACAAGCACGCCTCTTTCCCTTCCGGTTCTGCAATTCCCTGAAGCCATGGCGTCTAAGTCTCCTAGAACTCTGGGGTCCTATCCACGTTAGTGACATCTGAGCTTCCCGCGCTCCGGGTCCTCAGTACCGGCCTGTCATTGACCCTCAGGAACCCCGGGGTCACTGCTGTCCACCGGAAAGAAGCGGGGAGGGACCGCAGGCAGAGGCGGAGAGGCAGGGCACTAGAGGGCAGATGTCCAGGGGGTGGTGACCGGGACGCCGCGGTAAGGGAACGCTGGTACCACAGGGGAGGGCCCTGAACCGCGCGGTACTCACGGGCCGAGGGCCGAGAGGCTGGTTTGCCCCCGGAGCCCAAGGGGCTGGGCCCGGCGCTTGCGGGGACGGGAAGGGGGCTTTGTGACGTCACTGGGGCGTGGGGAGAGGAGCGGGGGGCGGGAGCGGCAGCCGGGCCAGGGGCAACGCCTCTTTGCTGAGGTGGGAGTTGGCTGGGCAGAGGAGGTTGGGGAGGCAGCATAGGCAGGAGGCTCTGAACAGGCGGAGTCGGGCGCCGGGTAGGGAGGGCGTGTGGGGGAGGGCAGCTTAGAGCGCCCCCGTTGGGAACGTGAAGGGGCGGGCGGGGCCGCAGGAGGCGGGCGCCCGGTGGGGCGGGGCTGAAGGGGTTCGTCTGCGCAGGGCGTCTTGCGAACGTAGACAGTGTCCGACCGAGGGTTGAAGGGAAAAGCGCCCCGATCCTCTGGGCGGGGACGGGGTCTTGTCAGTGTCCCAGGTGGTTTCGGCTCAAATGCTGCCTCCTAACCTGTATCAGGCCCTGGTTTGGTGACTAAGCCCGTCCGGATCCTGAATACTGGAATAGACGGGGGAGAGAAGACAGACGAGAAACTGAGTCTTGGGCCTTGCAAGGGGCGGGGAGCGGGCCAGGAAAAGAGCCTGGAGGGCAAAGTAGCACCTGCCATTCCCTGGGCTTGAGGGCGTAGATGGCTGGCTTTCCTTGGGCTCACTGGCTGGATGTTTTCTCCGTGGCCTCTCCTCACCCGCGGCCCGAGCGCCCGGAAGGAGAGGGTGGGGCGCCCGCTGGAGGAGGGGACGCTTTGCTAATACTGGCGTGCACCGTCCCCCAGGCTCTGCTGTCCTTTTCTTCAGTGAAGGAATTCCGGGCAGGGGTTTTCTCTCACTTAGAAAATAAAATCACAGCATTAGAAAGAAAAAAAAAAAACTTTAATAACGATTTTCAAGCAAACGCTGGAACATAGCGGGGCGACAGACCCCTGCACATAGATCGCCCAGCCCATATTGCGCCGCGTTTGCGTCATCTTCCTTGTGTTGGCTGAAGGTTTGTTTGAAAAGCAAACCCCAGGCGCCGGGAGTTTCGCCTCCGTGAGCCTTATCAGCGTCTCTAAAACGAGTGTTACCAAAAATAAAATCCTCTCCCCTACCACTGAACGGACTCCTTGAGGCCAAGGGGACCTCCCTAAAACACCTTAAAACAGAGTTCCTGGTCAAAACTGGTGGGTGGGACACGCCTCGTTACCCTCTCGCCTTTTGGGGTCTAGACACAACAACTGCCCCTCATTCGTAGTGAGTTGAGACGGAAAGATGCTCTGATGAACTCTGGCAAGGAGACATCAAATAATGGACAGGACCTAAGGCCACACCCGCACCCTGCACTTGAAGAATAAGCTATGTGCCAACCACCACTAGGTGTTTCTTCTCTAGCAGTTAGACAAGCTCTGGCCTTGGATTCACAGTATTGGAACAATCAGACTCATCTGCTCAGACCCGATCCTTTACTCCGGTCCCCTAGCCACAGCTGAGCTCTGGTTGCACTAGCACTGGTGTTAGTGACTTTCTCCTGATAAGAGATACCCACTGTGGCCTGGTCCTGGCCAGTTTGCAGGCACTGCAGACACCTTCCTGTCCTGAAAGGGACATAGAGCCTCATAATAATATGTGTAAATGTGAAGTTTCCACCCCCAAAGTGCACATGGGTCACATGTTACACACACATGTGTTCAACAATCATGGGTCAGGACCCCTTCATTAATATTCATACCCCTCCTGTCCTGAGTTGAATATGTGTTAGCCAATCTCTTCCCATAAAACTCCTGCACCAGCCTCCCCACCCCAACTCCACCAGTGCCTGTGTCCGGGCTTGGCTCCAGCAGCCTCTGAGTCTGAGGGGTGGCCCTCTTGTGGGCTGTGATCCCTTACAAGGAATAAAGTCTCCTCTCCAAACTTATTAACACGGAATTTTTGTGTTATGTTATCAGAAGTGTTTCTTACAGAGGACAAACCCTCGCCTACTTGATGCACTTCATGGTGTTTCCTTGATTATCTTCTTTCTGGTCTGTGTTCAGATTTTGTCTCAAAGGCATTTGTTCAAAAAGTTGATTTGTTTGCATTAGGATCCCAAGAAGGTGAGTAAGTCTTTTATGACTTGTTATTGTAGTTTATCTTTTATTTTTCTTAACTTTGTTCTTCCTCTCAGTCTACTTTAATGCTCTCAGGGAGAGAACAATGTCCCCTAGGTCCTTTAGCTGGGCTGTGGATTAAATTAACATCAAGTGGAGTAACAGGAGAAAAACCATTTGCACAAGAGTCCTATGAGACATGCAGTGCAGAGAAAGGGCAGAGGACTGTGTGTGAATGAGGCTCTCTTGTTATGCTGGAGGACAGATGGGCCCAGAATGGACACCAACCCAGAGGCAGTTTCTTCTCACATAACGCGCCCTGGCCTCTCTCCAGTGTGGAAGAAGCCAGTGAGGATGGACAGAGACTGTATTTACAGGCCCTGTTACTCGCGTGTGACAGACCCCATGACAGATAGAGTGGGATCAGATTTCAGTAGAAAGAAGGGGGCTCTGGTGATCCCTGATGAAGGCTGTGGGCCTGAGAAACTGAGACAGCTACCAGAAGTGGGCTTCCTATAGGGTTGGTTAGGGGAACTGGTGTGGTCTCTGGTTGGTCCTAAATTGGAAGCAGGACAAAAATTAGGGAAGTGCTCGAGTGCAGTGGCTCACACCTGTAATCTTAGCACTTTGGAAGGCTGAGGAAGGAGGATTGCTTGAGCCCAGGAGTTTGAAACCATCTTGGGCAACATACTAAGACCTTGTCTCTACAAAAAAGTAAAAAAAAAATAACTGGGCGTGGTGGCTCAGGCTTGTAGTCCCAACTCCTCAAGAGGCTGAGGAGGGAGGATCACCTGATCCCAGGAGGTCAAGGCTGCGGTGAGCTATGATTGCATCACTGCACTTCAACCTGGCAACAGGGTGAGACCCTGACTCAAAAATAATATTAAAAATAAAATAATAGAAATTAGGGAAGTGACAATTATTAATTCAGTCCTGACCACATGGGACAGATGGTTGTTGTCTGACTTCCTGAACTGATGCTGGGGTGCAATCTGACCTCCCACGGGTGTGTGACTTATTGCTACCTGGCCTTCTGGGCTGGTTATCGTAGAGATCAGGCTGGTGTCCCGGAATGTGTGTTTCGGCCCAGCGTTCTGGCCACTGTCTGCTTTTATAACTAGATCTTAAATAACGCTGGGTTAGGGGCGCCAACCCTACGAGAAGTCAAAAACCCACGTGTAACTCTCAACTCCCCAAATTTAACTCCTAACAGCCTCCTGTTGACCAGAAGCCTTGCCACAACAGAAGTAGTTGATTAATATGTATGCTGTATGTTGTGTGTTATCTACTCCTACAATAAAGTAAGCTAGAGAAGAGAGAATG